TAAAGCACTCTACTACACACGCATTCATACAGCACTCTACTACACACACATTCATACAGCACTCTACTACACACACACATTCATAAATCACTCTGCTACACACACCTTCATACAGCTCTCTACTACACACACATTCATACAGCTCTCTACTACACACACATTCATCCAGCTCTCTACTACACACACATTTATAAAGCACTCTACTACGCACACATTCATAAAGCACTTTACTACACAAACATTCATACAACACTCTACTGCGCACACATTCATAAAGCGCACTACTTCGCACAGATTCATGCAACACTCCACTATACACATAATCATAGTGCACTCTGCTAAACACTCATTCATACAACACTCTACTACACAAACTTTCATACAACACTACTACACATACATTCATAAAGCACTCTACTACACACACATTCATGCAACACTTTACTACACACACAATCATACAGCACTCTACTACACACACATTCATGCAACACTCTACTACACACACTTTCATAAAGGACCCAACTACACACACATTCATAGAGCACTCAACTACACACATTCATACAGCACTCAACTACACACACATTCATACAGCACTCAACTACACACATTCATACAGCTCTCTACTACACACACATTCATAAAGCACTCTACTACACACACATTCATACATCACTCTAGTACACACACATTCATAAAACACTCTACTACACACACAATCATATTGCACTCTACTAAACACATTCATGCAACACTCTACTACACACAATCATAGTGCACTCTACTAAAGACTCATTCATACAACACTACTACATACACATTCATAAAGCACTCGACTTCAAACACATTCATGCAACACTCTACTAAACACACATTCATACAGAACTCTAATAAACACACATCCATACAGCACTCTACTACACACACATTCATACAACTCTCTAATACACACACATTCATAAAGCACTCTACTAAACACACATTCATACAGCACCATACTAAACACACATTCATACAGCACACTAATACACACACATTCATAGAGCACTCAACTACACACATGCATACAGCACTCAACTACACACACATTCATACAGCACTCAACTACACACACATTCACACAGCACTCAACTACACACACATTCATACATCTCTCTACTACACACACATTCATACAGCTCTCTACTACACACACATTCATAAAGCACTCTAGTACACACACATTCATAAAGCACTCTAGTACACACGCATTCATACAGCACTTTACTACACGCGCATTCATACAGCTCTCTACTACACACGCATTCATACAGCTCTTTACTACACATGCATTCATAAAGCACTTTAGTACACACACATTCATAAAGCACTCTACTACACACACATTCATACAGCTCTCTACAACACACACATTCATACTGCACTCTACTACGCACACATTCATAAAGCACTCTACTACACACACATTCATAAAGCACTCTACTACACACACATTCATACATCACTCTACTACACACACATTCATAAAACACTCTACTACACACACAGTCATAGTGCACTCTACTAAAGACTCATTCATACAACACTACTACATACACATTCATAAAGCACTCGACTACACACACATTCATGCAACACTCTACTAAACACACATTCATACAGAACTCTAATAAACACACATCCATACAGCACTCTACTACACACACATTCATACAACTCTCTAATACACACACATTCATAAAGCACTCTACTAAACACACATTCATACAGCGCTATACTAAACACACATTCATACAGCACACTAATACACACACATTCATAGAGCACTCAACTACACACACATTCACACAGCACTCAACTACACACACATTCATACATCTCTCTACTACACACACATTCATAAAGCACTCTAGTACACACGCATTCATACAGCACTCTACTACACGCGCATTCATACAGCTCTCTACTACACACGCATTCATACAGCTCTTTACTACACACGCATTCATAAAGCACTTTACTACACACACATTCATAAAGCACTCTACTACACACTTCTTCATTGCCTCATCAGAGGCAATGAGGGGTTCATTGTCTTATCCAGGGACACTTCAACTATGACTGCTATCAAAGTCCCAACTCTGCAACTGAATTACGACTGCTCTAACAACTCTGTTACAGTTGACATAAAAAGCAGACTTATAAATATTTTTACAATTTCGTCCCCTTTAATGTGACACCTGTAGAGTTCTCTTTAAAACCATGTTTGTCATTCATGAGGTTGACGAGCTGTGGTTGCCATCTTGAATCTAATTAACTCTTAAGGGTTTATTTATTTATTTTTTATTTAAGGATCCTCATTAGTCTTCACTATAGTATAGATGCAGAGGGCTCTTCTTCCTCGGGTCCACAAGCTTTACAACACACAAATGTTACAATCATCACATCTCCAAACGTCACAAATAAAACCATCTGAGACACAAGAACGAGTTGTTCACAAGTTATCAGCTGCAGGTGAGCTTCGCTTTCAAAGCAAGGTTTGCTTGCTGAGTTTTGTTAAAATGTTTTGTGAAATATTTTTCTAAAATACACACACACGCACACGCACACACACACACACACACACACACACACACACACACACACACACAGTAATAAAAACATGCAATAAGTTGTTTATGCCGGTGTTCATGTCAATAAACTAAAACATTGGTGCATGTTTTGATTATCACAACAAAAGAAATATCTGCAGTAATTTGTTTCTCTTCTAATATTTCTGTGGATTATAATGAAATGACATTTTCAGCTGAATAACTTTTTATGCCAGCTTGATCCAAGATGACTGCCACAGATCATTGATATTAGTCAGCACAAGATTTATAATATACCACACAGCATTTTACAGATGCTCATTTACATTTTGGTATTGTACCTGTTGTGCGTCATTCATGACACACTATGAGCACTAAATATTGTGCAAAATCTTTTTTGAAAACATGGACCATGTTTGCCTGTTAGCAAAATGTTACATGAATGATGTTGATGACACAAAGTAATAGTTGTATATAAGTTGGTTTTGTTTTTCTGCTCCTGGAATAGTTCTAGTTTACATTTTTATCTGAGTCTCACAAACACCGCTCACCTGTTTGTCCTGCAGGTACGAGAGCGGCTCCGCCTGCTTCCACGAGGATGACCGGGATGGGCTGGTCAAGGTGTGTCGACTGGTCATCAACGCTCGTTATGAAGAGTATTCCACAGAGGGTTATGCTGCGTTATGCTCCAGCCAGCCAATCATCTACCAGAGCGCCTCCTGCAGAGCTGCTCTGGGACAGCACGTGTGCATCCAAGTAGGAAGAACAAAATATTTCATATAATACTTTTTTCATTCAACCTTTATAAATACAGGTTAGTCTCATTGAGTCACGAGGACTCATTTACAAGAGAGACTGTTTTAGACAGACAACATATAAAGTACAGACAACAATAAGAAACAATAAAATGCAATTAAAATAAAAGTAGTGGTATAAAACAAAAACATTAAGGTGCTTTATTAAACAAAGTGAAATACTAAAAATAAGAACATATTTTCTTTGATGTTTCTATTGACCTTTTTCAAATGTTTAAAATCCCTTAAATAAATCAAAGTGGACAGCTGTAGTTCCTGTTGCAAGGTGTTCCAGGTTAGAGGAGCTGAGTATTTAAAGGTCTTTTTGCTGAGTTCAGTCCGCAGTGAGGGAACACTGCAGGTAATGAAGGCCTGAGAGTGCAGGTTGTAACTGCACTGACAATGTGACATGTGGGAGGAGATATAAGAAAGTAGCAGACCAAGAATGAATTCATAGATGAAAATGAACCAGTGTGAGAGCCTACGTGTAGATAACTATGACCAACTGACCATAGAGTACTGGGTGTAGTGATGGGTACGGTAGTTACAACCAGTTATGAATCTTGGCACACCATGGTAGACAGCATCCAACATCTGCAAGCAGCTGGCAGGGGCATTCATGTAAATAATTTCACCATAGTCAATGGCCGGTAGGAAGGTTGCAGTTATAAGGCTTTTCCTGGCGTTCAGAGTTGAGCAAGATCTATTTCTGGAAAAAAATAAACCCAGTTTTAATTTCAGTTTCTTTATCAAGTTTTCGACATGCAGTTTAAAAGAGAGATGTGCATCAACTTCCCGAGTATTTGTAAAAATCTACAAACTCAATAGGAACACCGTGCATGGCTGAGATGGGAAGAAGAGTTGCTGGCACCAACTTTCTGTCGGAAAACAACATCCCTTTGGTTTTATCAACATTTAGCACCAGTTTGAGATGGAACAAGTCTGACTGAATGTTGAATGCAGACTGTAGAAGCTGGAAAACCTTGGCAACTGTGTTAGCTCGGCAATAAACAACTGTATAGTCAGCATAGAGCATATGTGTCAAACTCTAGGCCCACGAGCCAAATGTGCCCCTTGTTGACATCTTATCTGGACCCCAAGATTATATGTGAAATGTAAAATATTTCCATCTCTTGAATTTTTTCAGTAATCTTTGATTATGATTTTGAAAGCACAACAGAGAACATCAAATGAGACTAATCAAACTCTTGTTGAGGAACCTGTGACCAAAAAAATATGATGGGTATCTGGTTTGAGTTAATGTAGTTTCTGAAATTGGCCCTTAGTTTGAAAAAAGTTTTAATTTTGGCCCTCTTTTGTGAGTTTGACACCCCTGGCATAGAGATCAAGGAAGCGTCAGGAATGTTTTGACCTACATTATTTATATAAATTCTAAAATGGGTGTGTCCTAAAACTGAGCCTTGTGGCACGCCATTAGTAACCGTTAGGTAGCTAGACGAAGCACCATTATGCCGAACACATCAGTCAGATATTCTTTATTGTCATTCGCACCTCATGTGGTACATGTGGTGGAGCGAAATGATGTACACAGGGTCCCAGTTACATCCAACAATAAAATGTATAAGAAAAACAGTAATAACATCTAAGATATGAACTAAGAAAAACATCAACTAAATATACACTAAGCACTCATAACATAAAAACATTGAACATCAGCACAAACATGAACATGAGTCTGTGTGAGCGGATGTGCACGCATGAACACATCAACAATGAAACAGATCAGCAGCAACATGAAACAGATCAGCAGCAACATGATGTGATTTTTCACAGTGATTATTCTGGTTAGAGATTCATGAGTCTAACAGCCTCAGGGTAGAAGCTGTTCCTCAGTCTAGTGGTTCTACACTTAATGCTCCTCAACCTCCTTCCTGAGGGGAGTGGGGCAAAAAGTGTGTGTGCTGAGTGAGTGAGGTCCTTCATGATGCAGGTAGCCCTCTCTAGAGGTGTAGATATCTGTGATGGTGGGGAGGCTGATTCCAACATCTTCTGTGCAGCCTTCACCACTCTCTGCAAAGCTTTTCTTTCTGCAGCTGTGTAGCCTCCATGCCACCTGTTGATGCAGGAGCACAGGATGCTCTCCACTGCACACCTGTAGCAGGAGGTGAGGACTGAGCTTCCCAGACCAGCTCGCCTCAGCCGTCTGAGGAAGTAGAGTCTCTGATAAGCTTTCTTGATCAGGCTGGTGGTGTTGTTGCTCCAGCTGAGGTTGTTGTTCATGTGCACACCCAATTACTTGTAGCTGGAGACCACTTCCACTGCAGATCCTCTTATGTTCACTTCACTTCCGGCGAGCTGATGGACAGCAGCTCCCTCCGGCTTCTCTGCAGTCTTTTATCATCAAACTGACCCGTTTTTCGAACCGGACTAAAGTTGGTCCTCCTTCCAACCGAATTCGGTGTTCAGTGACTCAGAGAGCCGGACGGGACCGTCCAAAAAAAAAAAAATAATATTTTGGCCCTGGACCGATCGGCCGCTCCCCCCCCATCGGTCACTCTGAGCGCACCCTGCCGGCCAGGTGACCCCTCGAGCTGGGGAGTCGACGCACGAAGGTCCGGTGTTTTTTCTCTCTCTCCCTGGACCTCAACGAACTCTTATCTGGACCTTTGTGGTTCTACCTGGTTCCGACAAATATCGCCGGGTGGTATTTCGCTGGTTTTCAGCTGGACTGGCCCTCGTGGTGTTTCCATAGGTGTGGGGGAAGTGTACCTGTGTCCCTCGAATTGGACCTGAACCGAATCGAGGTGGCTGTGGGGAAATTCGTCTTCTACAGAGCCGGTCTCAGCTTCAGTGAGCAGCCCGTTACTTTTACTGAAGGACGATCCACCTCCGTGGAGTCGTTGTGTTCACCTGGAGGAGACGCTCCGGTGCTTTGAAGCGCCGCCGGACCGGAGCAGAACCGCGCCGCCGGGCTGCCGGACCGGAGCAGAACCGCGCCGCCGGACTGGGCCGCCGGACCGGAGCAGAACCGCGCTGCTAGACTGGGCCGCCGGACCGGAGCAAAACCGGGCCAGGGATATCTTCAGCCTCTTCGTCTCTCGTGCTTGGAGCGCCGGAGCCGAACTGGAGCAGAACCGGACCGGACCAGTTGCCGACTTCAGCCTCAGCCTCTCTGGTCAGTCTCGCTTTTCACCGGGGGTGCCCGGTGCAGTCGGGTGCTGAGAAGCGGAGGAGCAGCGTGGAGGAGCAGGGCTGCATGGTGCTCGAGAGAAGTTCGGAGTTTGTATCGGAGTTGCTCAGGCCTCCATCCAAACTCACCTGGATAATAATTAATTTTATTCCGGATCACGTTGTTGGCCCCTGTTGACCTGAAACGAACTTGGACCATGCCTTTCACTTCAGGAGGATTTTCTGGCAGCTCGCTCTGCTATTTGCTGCGAATTTTCAGTTTCTGTTTGGGCCTGTTGATTCTGGACCCAGCTTCTGTTTCTCATGGGAGCATCCATCCATCCATCCATCCATCTTCACAGGGGGGCCGGAGCCCCCCTCAGCCTGACTTAAACTGCAGTTGGGCCACCTCGTCGGGTTTGTTTGCCCATTTGAACTGTGACATTTTATGGTCTGAATCTTTTCTGCATCATTCATATTACTGTCACTATTTTCAGTTCTCAGATTATCTGGAGTCACTGAATCTTGTTAATACACCTGAATCTGTCCATCACTGCAACTTTCACTGTTTTTGGGTTCTGAATGATCGCGTCTTCATTAATGTTTCTCATGGTTCGATTATGGGGGCTAATTGTCACACTGTTAACTCTTGTAATTACACATCAGTCACAAAAAACTCAAGAAAATGTCTGATAATAATGTTGTTATTGCTCTCAGGAATTCAACCTAATCCTGGACCCCCCACTAATTACAGCACACCAAATGACTTTAAAAACGCCTCTGGGCTCCATTTCCTGCATGTAAACGCTCGTAGCCTTCTGAAAAAACTTGATGCTGTGAAAATCCTGGTCAGTTCTTCTGGGGCAGATGTTATCTTTATTTCTGAGTCCTGGCTCAACAAATCTGTAATGAATAATGACGTGGCAATCAATGGGTTTAACATCTACCGCTGTGATCGTCAAAAAAGGGGGGGTGGAGTCATTATTTACATTAGAGACACTCTGGTTTCAAGTCTTGTGACTTTCAAAACAATTCCAAACCAGTTTGAAGTCTTATCTGTAAACATCACCTTGAATGGAGGCCAGGTTTTAACTGTAGTCTGCTGCTACCGCCCCCCCACAGCTTCACCTGAAGCATTAAATGCCATTAAGGAATTCCTTGGTAATTTAAAATTCAAAGAGATCTTTTTGGCAGGAGATCTCAACATTGATTGGTGTAAGTCGACCCCCCTCTGTGACAAATTCAAGGAATGTTGCTTGTCTTTTAATTTAACCCAACTGATCGACTCCCCCACCAGATTAAATAAAAGCCATCCTGACAATTCCTCCATCTTAGACCTGTTTCTAACTAATATGCCTCACAAATTCCCTGGTACAGGTGTATTCGCTGATCTTTTGAGTGATCATTGTGTGACAGCGGCTTTAAGAAATAGTAAACTTCCACCTTCTAAGCCCAGATTAATTCAAAAAAGGGATCTGAAACATTTCTGTGAACAGTCATTCCTCTGGGATCTGTCTCACTTTGACTGGCATCGTATTCTGTTAACTGATGACGTGAACTCTGCTTGGAACTATTTCCATAATAATTTCATTTATTTCCTGAACATACATGCTCCTTTTCGTCAGTTCAGAATAAAGGGACGAGACAGCCCCTGGTTTACTCCAGAGCTAGCTGACCTCCTGCACAGGAGAGATCATCTTTGGGCCGCAGCGAGAAAATCTGACTCAGACACTGATTGGTTGAGTTTCCGACAGATGAATAAATGTACAACTTCTGTCAAAGCAGCAAAACGAAACTATTTCTTATCTCAGACCTCCAAAAATCTAAATGACC